CCACCTGAGCATTTCTTTATGGATCTTGAGCAGAAAACTTACAGCGGCGTAACGTCATTAAAATTAGAGGAAGAAGCCGCAACTACTTACTAAGCTATCAGAAGAGGGTTCAGGTGCGGACCCTCACCAAAAATTCCGCACGCTACAGTCACGCGCACCCATCTCTTGTGTACTCTGTAAACGCCCACCGCCCCCCAAGTTATTAAGCTGAACCTTAACACACGCAATTAAAATTAATGTTCAAGAATTGAAGTACTTTAAAAGAAGCCTAAACATATGACATTTATAGTACACAGTTTTTTATGCAATTTTAGATTATATGGGAACAGTAAAAAACTTATTTATTTATTTATCGACAAACAGAGCTGTCGATGCGGGAAAGAAATAATCAAAACAATACAGAACTTATGCTAGATAAAACTTAAGAAAAAACAAGGCCTATAGAAATAACAAAAACGTCTCATAACGCATGCGAATCGGTGGGGGAATTTTATTTGCCAAACGACCAGCTATTTTTGAAAATGTGGAATTGTTACTACAATATCCTCATTACGGCATAAACGGCGTAAAAATAAAGAGAATACACCTACTTCGGTTTTTGCACGGTCTTTTTTACACGATTTTGATATAACACGGTTTGAAAATTAAAAAATTGCATATAAATTTCTTTAGAGAAAAGGAATCAATCAAATATTTTTGTGTATGATCAATGTCTTTTTTTACACGGTTGTTTCTGGAAGCAATATACCGTGTAAAAACAGAATTAGGTGTATAATATACTTTTTATTTCTGCTCAAAATATTATCGGAAACTCAGTTATTATTCGCATATAGGTATATATATCAATGTTATAGTAAACTTGAAATTTTGAAACGATATCAGTCTTATGAAATATAATATTAGTCGATTTTATCGACATTCTAATGAATTTAATTGATACCACATATACATATATGTATTTGCATCAATTTCTTATTACTTTAAAAATACACCTTATAGACTCCTTATAGAGCTCTTGTCGTTTTAACACTAATAAGTACCAAATCTTGTGATAAACAAACAGTGTGTTTTCTGCAGTAATCGTTCCTACAAAAGACGCTATAGAAGAAAATAAAACTACACAACTTTATCCTCCAGACGACTGTAAACCATTAGTAAATGATATAGAAAAAAATTAAAATATGTATGTATGTATAATACAAAGAGAGGAGATTTTATTCAGTTATAATTAAAACATTTTGTTATTGTACCAATTGATTGGGATCAAGAATGTACAGTGCTTTGATTTACATTACATTTAATAATTTTATTAAATAAAAGCTGTGTTGTATGAACGTACAATAGCCGCCTAGATATGAGACTAGTAATATCAGAAAATTGCTTGTTCCTAGCTATTAAGATTCTAAAATCCTCCTTGGTCATACAGACGAACAAAACTATAGATGGATATAATATAGACATATCGCTTCGTCTCCTACATACTTTTCCAACTTCTTATAGGGTATAGGAAAATCCGAAGCAATCAAGTTCATAAGCGCATATATTCAGTTATAATGAGTTAGATGGGTGCTGACTCGTACACATCCTATACTTACGTGATGGAAGTTTGAAGATCTAGAAAACTTCGTTGAGGCAGCTTGTTATGCTTCGCTGGTGAAGCGCGCAGCTGTCATGTTAAAGATGGGGCTTTGATTTGATTCGTTCGTATGAGGAGTTCTCTATGGTTTCTGTTGGCCCAGAATACGTGTACCAACTGCGACTGCTACAAAGCCCACTTACATGTGGGAATACACGTACTTTTCGTCTCACGTAATTAGATAGACAACAGCAACAGCAACAGCAACTGCCACGGCAACAATTGCCCAACAAAGGCATAATTACCCAGCAAGTAACTAAGAATTATGAATAATAAACATTTTTTGTGCACAGAAAAAAATATTTAGAAAAAAGTAAGCGGTATAGAATAAAAATGCCAGACATTCGAACCATCGACCACCCATAGAAGGCAACGATTAACCATCACTTGCTCGCCTTTTAATGACTTTTCTTTGAGCTGACTAGTCATAGCCAGACGGCAGACGACAGAGGACAGACAAAAGACGGGAGACGGAATTAGACAATTCCTCATAATTGTCTCTCTTTCTCTTTGTGTCATGCCTCTAATCTCTCTGCTTTGATTATCTGTGCGCACGGTTGCAAGTGCAAGTCGTAAAAACTAAGGTTTTTATTGACTCCAAAAGAATGTGCCGACAGCAAACATTATCGACAAAGTTATGAGGGGCCCAGCAGGTGGGCTCTGCTACTGAACCAACCCCATGTCGCTATTTATAGCACTTTCCCCGCAAAGCGATTAGAACTGCTGATGGGAAATCGCACAACTATAATATGTACGTGTATGTTAGATCTGATTCTTTAATTGCTAGATTTAGCCAGGCTCCCACTGACAATATTCTCATGATTAGATATAGGTTTCCAAGTATTTAGTAGGTACATATGTTGGCTCTCTCCATTTTTTAAAATATTAGAGTTTTAAAAGTATTTCAATTATTTATTTAGTAGCAATAATACAGATTTTCTGGCGATCTTCGGAAGAAACGCAAAAGTTTATTTACAGCGCAATTTTAGAACTTCTCTCTCTCTCTCTCTCTCTTTCTCTCTCTCACTTTAGGGATTTTATAAATACTCTATGCCTCACACTCACATATTACCTAAAAATAAAAATGATTAATGACCTACGATAAAAGAAGACTTCTTGCCTAATTTTTAATTAAATATAGTATTAAGTTATAAACTAATTACTTGACAAACCAAAATATTTTGTTAAAATAACTTTAAATATTATTCACATATTGAGAGCAAATACGTTACAGCGTATTATATCGCAGAGAAAATATATATATAATTTATTATATTAATTTTTATGATCTATAGCGAATTAACAAGATTTCCAGTTGAAGGTCAAAAGTGTTATTTAATTTTTCTTAAACCAAATATTAGTGATATTAATATTAGTTACATTTTGGGTACAAGGAATAAACAGAATACGATTTCAAAAATCATCAAAAATTACTATAGGCAGAAAACTCATAACGAAATAAAATTATTAAAGGATTTTTCCTCTCGGCTTGGAAAGGATTTCTCTTGCTCTACGACATCCTTGTGCTCATATAGGCAGACCTACATAAATCGACCATGATTTGTGATGCCTGTTTCCTCTTGAGATTCAGAACAACCTTATTATTGGGGTAAAAAAAATAAAGAAAAGTAATAAAGAAATTTTATGATTTTGAGTTAAAAATGCTTTATTCAGCTTTGGTCTTATGTTTCCTGTTCGGCTGATTAAACCTTGTACCGGGACGGTCAGCTTCTGTAACAGCCACGAGGAGGCGTGTAGGATCCTAAAAAGCTTAAATATACTATACTTGATTAGCTTGATGAGTCGTTCTAAATATGACTGTCCACAAGTATAAACGCTAGACTCACCAATCTTGGGATACATGTTCTCATAAGTCCGACAAAGGACAAGACTATTTTATTGGTTTTTATACCCTGTACCCATAGGGTAAAAAGGGTATATTAGGTTCGTGCAAAGTATGTAACATGCAGAAGGAAGCATCTCCGACCCCATAAAGTATATATATTCTGAATCAGCATGATGAGAGAAATCGATCTAGACATGTCCGTCCGTCTGTCCGACCGTCTGTCCGTCCGTCTGTCCGTCCGTCTGTCCGTCCGTCTGTCCGTCCGTCTGTCTTTCCGTCTGTCCGTCTGGATGAACGCAAGGATCTCAGAAACTATAAAAGCTAGAATAACCAAAGTTGGCATCCAAATTCCAGAAAGGACGAGTTTATTTTTTTTTTTTTAATTTCCAAATGCTCGCCAGTACAACCCCCAAACTGCAGCAACAAGTTCGCTCTTCTTCTTCCTCTTTTTGCTGCTGCTATGGGCTCTTATAACTTAGTGACGGAAGTTTACCTGGGTACAGGGTATTCCACTGTCGGGCTTGCTCGACTGTAGCGTTCTCTCTTGTTTTATGTTTTATGTAAATAACGTTAATATTAAAGTCAGTTAAGTACTGAGCTGAGTAGAGGCCGGGCACCCATTTTAGCTTTACGCTTCTGTTGCTATTGATTTGTACATATTTCCCGTTTCTGTCCGCAAATCACAATTACTTCCAGTTAGTGTTAGTTATGGCCGAAAATGTAATCTTATCCCATGCATTCATGCCAGTAGCCAAGGGCCTAGGCCGTTGGGGGGCTGTTGCCCCCCCTTCACAAAATTTTGCCATATAAAGTCGACCACACGTTCATTATATGACGCACTATTTCGCCTTAAAATGGATCTGAGTTCGATTTGTTGAAGTTTTTCATTGGTCATATGCATAAATTATTTTTTAAATGCATCGTGCATTATTTAATCAAAATTTTAATTTTTTTAGCGGCCCCTTTGGTAACAGCTGCGTACGCCCTTGCCAATAGCTGTAGATATCGGTGCTACTTAGGTTCAATTTAACTATCAACTATTTGTATTTATAAACTTGAACAAGTTGTTTAGGATTTTCCGGGCCCGAACTTTGCATTCCATTTGTATTTCAATACAAAATCTTACACAGTCAGAAAGAATTTAATACCTGACAATTAGTAATGGCGAGTGCAATGAATCGAAAATGAGAGCATTTCTCTTTGACTTCATTCTCCAAATACACTTCTGGAAGAGAATATTCTGATTTATTATTCACTCACTCAGAAGTCGAACTATGTATTCCCCGCATTCTTCACTTTACGTAAACTTAAAAATAGTGGTGTGATCTAACAAGAGCTCGGCTGATAAAACTATAGAAGTATGCACTTATTGATTTGATTAGGCATCTGATAGACATCGAAAGAATTCTCTCTCGCACTATTTGTGTAGGCTGGTCGAGTAGTACGAAGATTTCGCTTATCAATTTAGTCGACACTTGAGAGCGTCAACTTTGAATAATCAAGTCACTGGTTAGTATTGCCTTGAATCTGCTGTGGGTTGGTTCTGAAAATGCTGATGCTTCAGTGGGTGCTGATGGGGGCCTGTGCTCTAGCGCTCTCCAATGGCAGTTCAGCAGATTATTTGGATCCATATTTGCTGCAAACAAAGAGGTACTCAGCCCGAAAAGATATACATACATATGTATATCTGTAAAGAAGCTAATCTTTAACGCCCTTACAGCCTGCCCAGTGACTTGAACTTTATGCCAAGCCTCTCGAATGGCCATTTGGGCTACACAGTCTTTGGCGATGCGATATTTATGAATGGCATCTACAATGGCGCCAGTGGAAGAAGCAAGCGGGCGCGTATTCCCAACTGGCTGAACATTAGCGCCGAAATTTGCGATAAATTTGGCTGCCTAACAGACGATGATGTGGCCGGCAGTGAGGTCAGTTATGAAATGGATTTGCGCAATGGATATTTCCGCTATCGCAAGGAGTACACCAAACTAGGTCTGACGCTGGAGCAGCGCAGCTATCCACATCGCTACTACAATCGTGCGCTAGTCTATGAGCTGGAGGCTAAAAGGAGCGCACGTCTCTCAGGTACTGCTGAGCGGATTAATTGTAAGATGCACAGATCTAGTGAGGTTCTATTCTAATGGCTTGTTAACTTCTAGTTCCCCTGTTTCTAAGGCTACGACAACAGCCGGGCAATAACAGCGACGCCTTTGACTTCGAAGAAGTGAACAGGAAAAGTCGTAGTGGAGAAGATTATCGAACGCTTCGTGGTCGCACAAAGATCTTAGAGTTTGAGCCTTTTCAGCCAGAGCCGCATGAGATTTTCGTCGTTTTTAGTGAGTCACTTGAGCAGGATCGACAATTGGAATGGCCCACCTGGCAGGCTTCGCTTCAGCATCGCATTATCATCTCCATCGATCGCAAAGAGGATGTAGCGCGCAAAGAACTACAGGATCTGCTTCAAATAGAACAGCATGAGATGCTTAGACGCCACACGCAAGTCTGGAATGAGTTCTGGGACAACGAATTCTCCATTGATATCGAAGGAGACCCAGAGCTAAGCCGTATTGTCAATGCAGGCATCTTCTACCTCAGCAGCTCCCTGCCCTCGCTTACATCGAATCAGGCGAATGAGCCCTATTATGGGTTGAGTCCCACGGGCTTGGCACGCGGCAATCTAGAGGCGGACTATCAGGGCCACAATTTTTGGGACACCGAGATATGGATGTGGCCCGTGGCTGCACAATTTCATTTCGACTATGGAAAAATCTTGCTGGACTACCGTCTCAGGCACTTGGAGGCGGCGAAATACAATGCGAATGTGACGGGCTACGAGGGCGCACGTTATCCCTGGGAGAGCGCCTACACAGGCACAGAGGTTACAAACCCTTGCTGTCCCGATATAGCACAGCAGGAGATTCACATATCGCCCGATATTTTATTCACGCTGCAAAAGTACTTTGCGCAGTCCAATGACATAGACTGGGTGTGTGAAAAGGCCTGGCCTATAGCGCTAGAGGTAGCCCAATTTCTGGTCAGTCGTGCCAGCTGCGAAGAGTCCGAGGATATCTGCCACCTGCGCAATGTTATGGGGCCCGACGAGGATCATGCCGATGTGGATGATAATGTGTACACCAATGTAGTGTCCAAAATCGCATTGGAGTTTGCGGAGTGGGCGGGTGGCAAGTGTGGCAATGCCAGCAGCGCAGAGCAGACCTATCTCTCATGGCGCGCATTACACGATCGCTTACTTATACTGCACGATGAGGAGCTGAACTATCATCCACAGCATCAGGGCTATAAGATAAATGCGACTGTTAAGCAGGCGGATACCATTTTACTGGGCTATCCTCTGCAGTTCGACACAAGGTAGGCTGATTTTTGAAAATTTTTGAAACCCCCCTTTTCACTAAAATGTTATAGCGATTCGCATCTAAACGATCTCCACTACTATGCGAAGGTGACGCGCGAGTCGGGACCAGCCATGACATGGTCCATGTTCGCCGCCAACTATCTGGGCACCGGGGAACCGGAACGTGCTCATGAGTACTTCGAACGCGGCTACAAAAGCTATGTTCGCCCCGAGTTCAAGGTATGGAGCGAAAATCCGATCGGCTATGACGGCTCTGCCAATTTTCTAACAGGCATCGGCGGCTTTTTGCAAGCCCTAATCTTCGGTTACGGAGGCTTGGACTTTGCCAGAGTAGGTGATAAATCGCATATGATAAGCCGCCCGGCCCTCTTGCCACCCAATGTAGAACGCGTCACTATCAAATACATCAAATTTGCGAGCAGCAAATGTATCTTCCAATTCCAAAATGCTAGCTCTAGCTTCTATTGCCCTGAACTCGGTGGAAAACGTTTTGAGCTCAGTCAAGGCAATCGAAAAAGCCAACTAAATGGAAGTTTTAATGGTATGTAGCATTAAGTTTGTATTTCTTGGGTTAACTTTATTACATTTTCAGTGACCATCAAAAAGGGAGAGCCACTGCTGCGCATAAGCACCTTGTAAGGACAAAGTCCCGTCCGGAATGATGAATCGTTCATTTGTATAACTTTTTTAAATCCAAATTTATTGTTTATATAATCCTTCAAAATAAACTTACCTAATGCATTTATATTAATATATTTTAAATAATTGAATAACCTTTTCAGCGCTACATTATGACTTTTTGAAAATATTAATTAAATAATTTTTTTTGGAGAGCATGCATCCATTTAATGAAGTTTTTAAGCTGCAATTTATTTGCTGATTACATAGTTTATGGTGAGAGATAATATTTGTATATATAATGTGTGTGTGTGGTTGTGTGTGTGTGCATCTAAACTTAGGTATACGTACTATTGTAAGTATTTAGTGGATTTTGGAAGTTACTATTGCATTTTGGTTGTGGCTATTGTGATTTTTAATGCTAAAAAAACTTATTTCCATCTACTACTTGAACTTTGCTAAGGAGGCGCCGCTAACGCCAGCAGAATTTTTACTGCTACCGCTAAGCACTACATATGGCGTCTTGGTTTCTTTCTGCTTCTGCTGGAGCATGGTAAGTGTGCCCAACGGCGTGTCCGTAGAGCTCATCGTCTTCATTAGCTGTAAGACAAGTTAGATTTTTAACAGGTTCACATTTTAGTGGGCTATAATTTAACTTACGCCGTCCTGTTCCATTTTTTTTAAACGCTTCTCAATCTTATTTTTGCCTGGACCCTTGCCATGAAATTTATGGGAAAGGTAGCGGAACGCTTCTTTGAGGTTCAATATGCGGCCATTATCATCGATATAATCGAGCTTAACATTAGGCTTGAATGTTTCTTTGTCCTTGAAGTCCATAATCGGACCGGCATGGAAACGATCGCGACGCCCAAACTTTTCATCCTCACTAAAAAAATAAGCAAAAGTTAATCGTTTCATTTGAAGATTGATTAATTGTTAAGAGACTTACCCAGCGGCCTTGTCCTCAATAGAGTAATTTTTGGCCTGCAAATGTGCCATTTTTGTATTACTTGGCCTATTTTTTTCTTCCTTTTCAAGATAACCCTTTGATAATGCCAATCTCAACGCATTCGCCACGCCAGCGCCCACATCTGGCTCCTCATCGAGTATAGCACGTTCCTCAACATCGTCACCAAGGTTGTCGAGATCTGCTGGCTGCATAACTTCATCAGGATTGACCGAATTCCAAGTGCCATGACTTTGCGTAGGCGCATCTCGCTGCGTATCCATATGCTCGTCCGGCCCTTCTTCTGCATCGAAATCCATCATATCGTTGGAATCTTCGTTACGATTACCCGCCATGCCATATGTGGGAATATCGCCCAAAGTGCGACAAAATTCAGCGGTTGCATTAAGAACAATGTGTCCATCGGCGCTATTGAGCATCACACCACTGCTGGCATCATCTACTGGCTCTGGTTTTATATCCTGCTTGATGGCCTCCATGTCTATTGGCAAAGGTTTTTTGATTATATTTTCCTTTTGCTTCAGTTTGCGGGCCTTTGAGAGCACACGCTCCAGATCGTCATCATCGTTCTCCATTTTCAATGGGGGTTTGACATCATCCATTTCAACATCTTCGGGGTCCCGGTGACGCCCATGCCGACTGCCAAAGTTAGTAGAACTACTTGCCTCTGCAATGGGTTCCAAGTCCTCAGCTTTGAGTTTTTGTCTTAACTTTTTCACTTTTTTCTTGGGTTTCTTGAATCTGAAAAGTAAGAAAGACCTTTGTACATCCATAAAATTTACGTTATTTTTAAATAATACTTACTTTGCAAGCTCCTCTGCGCTGAAAGTGTCAGAAGCCAGCTGTATATTCGTATCTTGCAAAGTTTCCAAACGTTTGCCCGCCAGTTTCGTTTTGATTTCTAGCAGCTTGCGCCTGTGCTCGCGGTCCTCTTCTATATTCTCACCAATGACAAAGTTCTTGCGCCTCGTCGGCTTACCATCAATGTCCTCGTCATATTTCTCCAATACAGATCGCTCAATAGGATTTCCAAGCTCATCGTATTGTTCTTCGTACACGTTGTAACCATAACTTAATGGATTTAATTTCTTATTCTTTACATTCGTCTTGTAGCGTTCATCATCTAGCATATTGACATTAACCAAGGTATCCCCAGCCTCTTCATCAAGCACATCTTGATCCTTTAGCGTTAAGATAACCGTTCGACCTTCACCAAAATCATCCACATCGTGCTCAACGCGCAAACCCTTCAAATTTTTATCCCCGTAGGCTTTTTGGCGCTGATTTCCCTTTTCTTTCTCCACCATCTCTTGCACGCCAAATGCCACATCCAGCTCTTCCAACTCCTTAGCCTGCCAAAATAAAATTCGTTTTTAAAAATACTGCTAAAATATAGCCTTTAACTTACTCTTCGATCAGCTTCCTCACGTTGATTAACTACTCGCTTATTCCGCTCTACCCATGTGGACACGTTATCGGTTTCTTCGTCGGATTCGCCCAACGTTCGTAGGCGGGCCAAACGCTCCTCCAGAAACCTTTTTTCTTTGCGTTGCTTGAGCTTCTCGCGCAGTTTCTCGGCTTCTTTTTTCTCCTTGATATTGTCGGCAGGCTTGTGAAGAAATTCACCCCATTCATCTTTGTACGAGGCAAGATCCTTATCTGCAGCCGATCTCTTCATGCTGTCTTGACCGCTGTTGCTGCTCGAGGGTGCAGCTTTCACTGGCCCCGAGTCCACTTCTAAGGGCTTTAGGCCAAGCTTGGCACGAAGTTTATTGGTCTCTTCAATTGAGAGTACATCGCCAGCCCCATTTTCTGGAATAGGCGAATGTGAACGTGGCAGAGATTTGGAGCGGGAGCGTTCTCGAGCCCGCTCATTTTCTCTGATGGCACGTTTTCGACGTTCCCGTTCTGTATCTCGCTCACGTCGTCGATCATAGTCAGCATGTTTCGATATCTGTGGAGGCGGAGGTGGAGAAAGCTCTCGTTCTTTTTCACGTTCCCTCTCACGATCCCTTTCGCGCTCTCTATCGCGCTCTCTATCACGGTCTCTCTCGCGCTCTCTTTCGCGATCTCTTTCACGATCTCTTTCACGATCTCTTTCACGATCTCTTTCACGCTCCTTTTCACGCTCCCTCTCACGTTCCTTTTCACGATCCCGTACGTCTGGTTTGGCGATTGGCACCTCCACAGGCACCTCCACACAGTCAGAGCCTGCAAACAAAATGCAAGATCTTAATATATTGCAGCTTTAATCCGTTGGCATTGCTTCTTATATTATTAATTTTGAATTCTCGTTGCTTTTCTCTCGCACACACTCACAATCTTGGGCACACCTGCAAAACAAGAATGAAGAGAAAAACGCAACGATGATTTCATACTACCAGCCAAAAGAGTACAGCTCCAGAGCGATTGCTGGATTAAGTCAAACATCATTTTAAATCGCTTTTCTTGTTCGACCCAACCCGACGCAGTTGCCCTTACTTGGGCTGTACTTGTGGCGACAGAGTGCCCCTCACTTACTGTCAGAATCCGACTCCTCCAATGAAATTATCTCACTGGGTCGTTCACGCTCCTTGTGCTTATGCTCCCGGTGCTTGTGTTCCTTGTGCTTATGCTCCTTGTGTTTCTTATGCTTGTGGTGTCTGTGGTGTGACGATTCGTCTGTTAGATCCAATGTCACCTCCTCCTCCAATACCTCCCTTTGATGGCGTTCGTTCGAACGGGACCGATGTCGGTGCTTTTTGTCTTTTTTGTGCTTTTTTCCGGACGATGAGGAACCCATTTTTGTTGAAACTTTCTACGTATTTATAAATTTTCCTGATAAACGTTTTACGCTTCTCCTTTCCTTCTATTCAATAGCCGCAATGGGTAGCATTTTTCACAGAGGTCTACCGAACCTATCGAAAGCAGTACGGTAACGCTGCTGATTATCGCACCATAACTATTGCGAAATGGGTACCACCTTTAGAGCTATGTCCAAAGTTATCGATTTTAAACAACCAAAACAACGGAAAATGTTACATCAGATGTATGAACATGCATAAATACAGATGTATTATCAAAATCGTTGTGCTTAAACTAATTTTAAAAGTACTGCAGCTAATTGGTACGATCCCAGCGCCAAATCGTGCTGTCATCGCAAACGCAAATTAAAATGGAGCCGTCTCTTGAGAATGAGGTTTGCCGTATGGTCGACACACATTTTGGATGCACCAGTTGGCTGCATTTCGTCAAATTGGGGTCATTGCAATCTAATTCCCAGACAAAAGTAGTGCCCTGCTGATTGCCGAGAGCAAGAATCTTTTGCCAACAATTAAATGCAAAACGAACAAACCAAATCTCACACATTTTGTAGTCAAAGTGATGTAGAACCGTTGTCGTTGAGTCCTGTGGCTTGATTTCGTGCAGTTGTGCTGACAATTTTCCTGGCTTCCAGCAGACTATCGAATTTTCACATGACTTCGAGAAAACAAAGTCTCCAAACCATTGCACACAGTCCACATAATTCCGATGTATGTCCCGAGTGGAAAAATCAGGAAAATGTTCCTTAATTGTGGGAAAAGGTGCGGTATTTTTGCTGGCATTAAAACTAGAGCTCAGCTCGATAGCTTCCTTAATGTCAGCCTTGTCCAGACGCCAAAGCTTTAGGGAGTGATCCATGCCACTAGACATAATGCGGTCACCACGCAAATCGAAGTCAATGGAAAGCACTTCATCACGATGACCCTCCACTCCACCAAAGACGGCAACACACACATCTGTCTGAATGTTCCACAATCGCAGCGAGTGGTCCTTGCTGCCTGAGAGCAGCAACTGTGGCAGCACAGGGTGGAACTTTAGCTCATTAATAGCATGACCATGGCCTATGTAATTCTTGGAACATTGATGCTTCAGTGGATTAAAGAGGCGTATAACTCCACGGTAGCCCGCCGCTGCCAAAACTGGATCGCCAGTAATTGTATCAAATGACCAAGCACATGTGTAGAAGCTTTCGTCAGTCTGCCAAGTAAAATACAATATATAGCGCTTCCAACTAATTTGCATTCCATCCAAAAGTACCCACATCCGGATCCGCATAGACCTGTAATAGTCGAATGCCTTCACCAGAATCCCCTTCGCTATTATTGATGCACTCGTAGATGGACACACGATCCTTGCCAACAGTCGCAAAAACAGCCTGGCTTCTGTCCAGATGCGGATTGAACTGAACTCCAAAAATTTGATGATTGTGATCCTCCCGGACATGAGAACTGCAAAATAAGGAGGGAGTGTGAGACCAATCGAAAACGCTTTTCCCTTCCAACCAATCCACACCTATACTTATACAGCGGATGCACCATCTTTGGCGGCTTTATTCGCCGACACAGTTTGCTCAGCTTCCGTGCATTCGGAGACTTGCTACGCGTTGTTGTCGTAGTTGTACTAAATACACTGGCCGTATCATCCTTGTCTAGTGAAACATCGTCGTCTAATTCGTTTGTATTAGTCTCTATGCCATCGATACTTGCTGTATGTGGCAGTGCGGTCTCCGGTGCCGATTCATCTGTTGGGTGCTCCTCTGATTTTGTCTCCGTCATGTTTTGGCCAACAAGCCAAAAGCGTCTGGCTTAAATTTGTTTGACCCACAGTGGTGCCACGCTAATTGAAATTAAAAGTGCTACCAATCAGTATAAATACTGCACTCACGCCCTGGTATGCTGCCATTTATTTGAATTTAGCATTTTATTAAATTACTTATTTTTTTATAAACTAACGCCTTGTTGCCTCTGCTGTTGACTTATTGGTGTCCAGCAGCTCATCAATATACTTTTCCACCTCCTTGTGTGCCTTTAAGCTATGCTCTGTACGTGATACGATTTCGTTGATAAAGAAGCCGCGCAGCAACTCCGCCTTAGTTTGCAGCAACTGCGCCTGCGCTTGCTGGGATTCGAGCTGATGCCCCAAATAAGGACCCAGCTTGAGCTCTGCAACGGCTTTCATTAGCGCACACTTGCGGCTGCGTAGCTTAACCAATTTCTCCAAATGCTCACGATACTCCGTCTCTAATCGCAGAATCTCTTGTTGTTCTGTACTTAGCTCCTCATCCGAATCCTTAGCAAACAGGTCAGGCCATTCGGCACGCATTTTGTCCGCCATATCTGCAATGGGCGTCAGAGTGGCGCGCAGATTCTCAATCAGCTTGCTGCGGACAGCTTTCCGATCTGTATAGCTCAAAGGTGGACAATTACCATAGTCCTGCAAGTCTATGGATTAAGCGACGTTAAGCATTAACATTATAGAAGTTTTACTATTGCCTTACCCAGCAAATGCTCCTGCTCTCTGTCACCCTCGCCTAGACGCACAAAATCGCCAATTGAGACGAATTTTAATGCCCGTCGCACTTCAGCACTTTCCTGCGGACCTAAATTCAGACAACGCACCTTATTTATTATCAACCTGAGTTTCAAAACATTCCTTAGCTCAGCATCGCGTGCCTCTATCAGCTCTTGCGTTTCGCTGGATAAGATCGTGGTAGTAGGATCATCCATTTGTATAAAACAGAAACAATACGCGCCTGACTGAATTATTTGATCGAACTTCGAATAACAAACTCCGAGTGAGTGGCAACGCCAAACCTATGATGCCCAATTATTTCTTTTTTGCATTGGAAGGAATTTTGAAGCCTGTGGGACAAACATATGTATGTATGTATTTTGGATCATTCATTTTCCATAAATTTATATACATATATTTAGTTGATTTTTGGGTTATCTTTATAACGCGTTACTTTCATGATTAATATATGAGCATAACGCCGACAGTAAGTATTGGTCATATCCTAAAAGTATATTAATATTCATGCTCCGATCTATGTAGTGTTTCAAATAATCAAAGATCATCCTTATTGGCTCACGTTTGCTTTTGGTGTCGGCACGGTGCTCGCCTCTGAAATTTTCTTGCTCGGCATAAAATACGTGCGTAAACGGAAACTACAGATTCATGAGGTCATTATGTTTAATGACCAGAGCGAAGCATGCGCAACAGAGCACATGTTTAGGGATGAGCTGCACCAAGAGATTAACTGTTCCAACAAATTCTGCTCTGTGCGCAATTTGGCGCGCATTATACAACAGATTGATAAAGCCGCATACAGCATTGATATTGCCATCTACACGTTCACTAACATAGCATTAATGACTGCCATCGAAAGGGCGTTAAAACGCGGTGTTATTGTGCGAATAATTACCGATCGTGAAATGGCCTTCTCCAGCGGTTCGAAGATTGCATGTCTTGCCCCCTATGGTGTACCTGTGCGTGGTCCGGACTCGACGTTCATGATGCACCACAAATTCTGCATTATTGATGGGGAAGCACGTATTAAGGAGATTATGAAGATGAATGGACGCAAATATTTGGCGCTCCCCTATTGTAGCATTTTAATCAACGGTTCAGTGAATTGGACCAGGCAGGGCTTTGGAGGTAACTGGGAGAATTGCACTATTACTTCCGATAAGCTGCTCACTGAAAAATACCAAGAGGAATTCCTTAATTTGTGGAAATCTTTCGATAAATCCGGGAAGTTTCCTACGGTGGCCTAAACCGTTTGATCCGACTTTCAAATTACTTATTCTACTATGTGCCAAGTGCCTATTTATGGGCATTCATTATCTATCAGGTTGACCAAAGAATTTTTAAAAATGTATGGAAAATTTACTTAAGCAATCATTTTTAGACTTATGTTATTGATTTTGTTTAACTATTTGATAATTAATATGAAAGACTTGTTTAATTCGTTATCCTTTATTCAATTCATTTTTTATATATTACATTTGAGTATATATTACATTATAAAGCTCTAATTTGTTACATTAATAAAATATAAGTACATATTAATAATTGAAGTCTGAATACGAGGCACTTACAAAATAAAAGTTCTTCGTAGAAGTTTCATAAAATTCGCATAATCTTTCGAAATAGTGAACACATTTTTTAATAGAATAAACAATTTATGCGTAATTGCTGTCACATGCGTCAAAAAATCACACCCATCACAATCTTACACCGGAGTACGATGGTGATAATGTCCGCCGGTTGGATCTAATAGATAATGAATTTGAATAAAATCTTTATTATGGTAAAGTATTAGTTATGCTTAGGTAACCCCAAAGATTTGCAGCATTCCTATGTTAAGATACAGCAGGTCTGATACTGTACAAATTTGTTTAATATCTTGGACTCTACATGTTTATTTATGCAAGCATCAAAGTTTCCGTTTACACAGGAAATGGAACTTGTGTTTACTATTGCAAAAAATGCTTATGGCAGTCCTGAATCTGTTCCATAAATGGTTTGTACTTTTATGATTTTCCTAATTATAAACGCTGTTGTCTTCTTAAATATTTATGTACACTTCATATTACAAGCTATATGACTTATATTTAAAACTTTAGCCTGAAGCTGTAAACTTTTGTGTTATTTGGCCTGCTGTTTTAATTTTTCCACACGACGCGTAAAATTATCTTTTAGCATGTTGAGCCGTTCTAACTCGGATCGAATCTCCAAGTATTCCAAATAGGACATCTCGCTTTTGACCAATATTTCCTGCTTTAACTGCAGGATACGTCCCACTTCCTTCTCCTTGCGTTGCGCAGCAGCCAGTTTTATTGAAGTCGACTCCTTTCCTTTTTTATAAGACTTTGATTTTTTAGACTTCTTCGAGTCCTACGGGTAAGAATGTTATTAACATTAGTTAATGACACTGTATAAGAATAAATTAGCGGCGACTTCACTTACTTTTGAGTTCTTTATCTCCATATCCACGTGCACAAATAGTAAACAAGAAATATGTTAGGACACTAACAAGCAGCATATGTTACTAGGGCTGCAAGTGCAGATGCGTGCGATTTTTTCCACTAAGTGGCAACGCCGTGTTTCTGTATACAGTAAAAAAGTTGGATTTGTTTACGAAATTAAAATGAATACTCAAACAGATAAGGTACTTATAGCCAAGGAGGCGTTAGTGCTGGCCCTAGGTGAAAATTGGGAGCGCTACAGAGCCAACCTGAAGAACTGGTTTCGCAACCGATGCTCCAAGGAGGAATTCGACAGCGAGTCTCGAAAAATAATTTCTCACAGCAATATACATTTTCATAATGAGTTTCTGCTCGCACTGCTCAATAAAATCGATGCATTTGCACAGCCCGATACCACGCTACAAGCTCCGGGAACACTTACTGCCAGCTACTCAGGAGGCAGTCGAAATAGCAGCGGCGGCAGCAGCAGGAAACGAAATAAACGCAGCTCCCGTACCTATGCAGATCGGATTACCTTTGAACTGTGCGATGTGCTGGAGTACGTGGCTGAAGACAACATGCAGCTTATACGACCGCCCACACTCAGCGGCGGTGACCAAACGTTGCAGCAACAGCTTCCCACCCAAAGGTATTGCGCCCAGGAACTGTTTCTTCCTGATGCTGGCTTCATCATGGGTCGGTTTTTAATCGGCGCCTGGGAAATCGGTCTAGTCTCTGTAGATGATAATGTGGCTGAGTATGTCGCAATGGCTGTGCAAGTGCTACTCAAAGATTTACTCGCTGCCATCATTAAAAAACGCAAGCATTATAAAACCAGTGGCGAGGGCAATTATTACTACGATGTTGGTGCCCAGCTGCGCGATCCGTCGCTTCGCAATACTGTGACCCGCCAGAAAGTAGACGATGCCCCACTAGAATTGGATAAGGAGCTCAATACAGCCAACTTTATGAGACGGCAAAACGATGATGTTGTCTTTCTGTCCGCCTGCGAGCAAGTGTGAGTAACTTTTAGAGAAACTTACAAACAGTTTTGCGGGTACAAGAGAAGTTTAAGTGTCATTTTCCATATTCTGTTGTGAATTATCCATTGTTTTTAAAGGTGCAGACGGTGTCAATAATTAGACCTTCGGTAAACTTCACCGTACAATGTTGTCCACGCATTAGCTGTAGAACTGTTAAAACTACATATTAAAATTAATTCAATATTTTAACTCTACACTGCAGGTATCCAAGCGAGCGCACCATAATCACGCTTAAGGATTGCCAAAATGCATTTCGGGATCGTAATCTTATTGGCTCACACGCAGTACAATCTATAAACATGGAGCGTTTGAACGCAATGATGCACTGATAAACATACTAGTATTAACATTAAGTAAAGGAATACATATATTTATAATTAAAGTTGCTTTTCAGACCTATAATATTGTTAATTTGATGAATTAACTGAAATTAAGGTTAAGCAACTCAGAAACCAAAAGGTCAAATGACAAAGGAGGAACAAGAAATTAATGCTACTGTATATACGGACATGGCTATACAGAATCGTCATACTGATCAAAATATATACATATGTATGTATATACTTTGGGAGGGGTTTGCCACGCCTCCTTCTGTGTGTTACCTTTCGACAAAAGTAGTATACCCTTTTAACCTTTATGTAAAGGGTATAAAAGGAAATACAGCTCTCCGATAGTATTATGCAGTTTAAAAAAAAACACTTGACTGTTTTATTGCAGATGAAGATGTACCTAAATATAATCCTTTGTTCAGCTTCTCGCATAATTGTCATTCAGTACCCAGATCCTCATAATAAGTACCTGTTTTCACCTACATACATATGTATATGCGTTAGCATCTTCATTAATGATAAATCCTCCCGACAAAAAATAAATAACAGTTTGTTTCTAAATCAATTCAACGTTCAGCATTTGGATATTTGTGAACGATTTGGGAAATACGCTGGCGCCGTGACATGTTGCTGCAGGAAAAAAGCAAACGTACCCGTTTATGTTTGAGTCATGTTGAGGTGTGGCAAGGCTGTCATTGTCAGTGTTGCAAAACAAAACTACCTATACAGTGCTATTAAGCCTTAGATTTATATTTAAATGTTCTGTTAAAACCCCACCTTGTATTTTCATCATAACTTCTTACCTGATTTCAAAAATTTGGTTGCTACATTTTCCATTCAACTGTTTGCATTTTTATTCGATTGTAAATATATTGTACAATTATACTTTGCCACTGCTTAATGCTAAAACCTTTAAACTTTATTATACAATTTCGTTTTATGTTTTTTTTTCACATTTAATTCAATAATAAATATGCATCTGTATGTATGTATATGTTAATTGTATGTGTCCGAATTGGTTTAGTAAAGATTGAGCGCTATATTATACATTTAGATCTGTATACAATATTTTTCCATTCTCCCCCTATCGTATTCGCTAGTGTCTTTTTCATAAATGTATGTATGTATATATTTTTAGTTGTAGTTCGACCGCTTCAGTTGCGCTTTATTTATTTGCTATTGTATATAGTTTGCACGATCCATATATAGGTATAGAATTTATTTATTACTTTGTTTTGCTCTTTCAACAATTTCGCTATTTATTTTTTATTTTTTTTGCTGGGTTTTCTCCTCATTACAGTTTATAACATTTCTATATATGTGGGTATGTATATATTATCTTTAATTTTATTAATATGTAAATTATACTCCATCAAGTTGCAATTTGCTAATGGTATTATTGGGTCTGAATAGCGGTATATCGAACGAGATTTATCGAAAGTATTTAGAGGGAAGGGGCTGTGAACGGAACGTAGAAGAGTGTACCAAAAGTTAAAATGAAACAAACGTGTAAATTATTATTAATTGTTTTTTATGAAAAATAACAGAAGAGTTTATTGAATTTTTTATTCTTTTCACTTGAAATCGATCGTCATCAATCAATAAAATTAAATTAAGGTGTGTAATTTATTAATTTTTATCTGCTGTTGGCGATAAAGTAACTTAAAAATAACTAAAAATGTCTTAAGAAGTTAAACTTATACAGAAACATATGTTCAATAGCATTTTATCTGCCTTCTCTACGGGTTTTAATGTAAAATGTAATCTTGCGTTTTGCTCTTGTTTGTTTTTCGTTTTTTCTTTCATTTATGTGTAGTATTATTTAATGTACAGTTTCTATTTAGTTTAGGCTTGAAACATATATGTATATATCTAAATACTCGCTAAACACTAGTTAAACTGTATTTACAACTCCGCAACTCCTCGCGTTATTGTTATCATCAATCATCGTTACTGATTTTAGACGTATTTTAGTTGTTACTTATTACGTTTTTATTTAATAGATATACATATATATTTATATTTAAAATAATTTATAACATTTTTAAGCGTTAAATAATTTAAATATTTTACAGATTTTCCTTCTTTTTTTGTTGTATATATAGTATATTTACTTTCTTTTTTTTCACAAAATTTACAAGTGGGTGTGAAAATATTTAGGAGTGTACAGGATTCTAAAATGTGTGTGGTTGTTTGTATACATGTGTAGGTGTTGATTTATAATGCCTGCGTTTGGGCATATTTATATTAGAGAAACGTCCCGCAACTGTCTCACATTTTACAAAGTTTGACACAAACGCAATAGAAGAAATAAAAAGAATCGATTGCAACCGATTAAAACGACAGCTTCATCAATTCAGTAGGTGTGGCAGTGGTGTTGGTGTCAAGAGTTTGAAACAAGGCGTTAGAAAAGGGGCAGCAATAACAACAAAGGGGTCAACACAGTGGGGCACACAAAAGGGATTGCAATTTCCAGCTATTTTCTGCAAATCGCAGACGCTTTTGTTGCCTCAATCGCGTACGAAGGACTTGTCTAAACTTTAAAAAATATTTGGCTTAATTTTATGTTTATTATTAAATACGTTTCTATGTATGTATTTATGTATACGTGTGTATGTAATTGTAGGAGAAAAAGCCTCTGGGCGCGTCTTTAATCCTAATTGTGCTTAACAGCGACAGGGTTGAAAAAGGGACCGATGCTCCTATCATTCTTTGGGTCTATGCAGCACATCCATTAATAAGTTAGAAGTGTGCTTCATAAAGCCAAGGAATTTGAACATTAATTCGTTTCATTATTATTATATTTTTTAAGAGTGTAAACTTTGTAAAATGCTTGCAGTAATTGCCTTTAAACGTTAATTAAGAAATTTCAACGTGTTGGGACGATTTTCTATTTTTAATCTGGGCGTACAGTGAACATTAATAGTTTGGGCTTTTCGTTTACATAATTGAAGCTTTTCGCTTTCTTTTCATTTCATTTTAAATTAAGCAAAAATAAAACTTTCTTGAGATCAAATAAATAAAATGTATGCATACAACTTAACGATACTTTGCAAATATTTCGCTTAGGTATGAAGTGGGGGAGAAAACAATTTAGATAAACAATTTGCATTTTTGTTGTTGCGATTTCTGTTTTTTTTTTGCGATCGGATTTACATTGATCATCGTCGGTGCTTTTTGCCTCAATGTTCTTGCATTTGTTTATTTATTCAATAAAGTTTTCTTGCATTTTTCTTTTAGGTGTTGTGTGGTTTTTTTTTTGTTTTCTTTCTTTTAAACTTTTGCTTGTTTAACGTTAATCGCTATTTTAAAATTACTTAATATACTAGAAGGGCGTAACTTGTTTGTAGTAGTTGTTGTTGGTTTTTGCTGATTTACTATACATTCTGTGTTGTTGTAGCCAGTAATTTTGTTTCTCACATTTGGTTGTTTCTCAGTTTCTCATATTAGGGATTCATAGTGTCGCATTTGGGTAGAATTGTATTTTGCAGTTCCGAGTAAAGTTGTAAGGGTCTGGTATTTAAAGCGGATTTCCATTTAGACGGTGGCAATCACAATCAATAGATGCGCCAATTCAGCTACACGGTTCTTCAAATCTGGCGCAGCTCGCTCTAGATTCTCATTGGCAAAGTCGCAGGCCGGAAAGATGTGAACCACATAAGCGGCCTGCTCGCTGCCCGGAATGGGAATATTTACAATTCCCGCGGCCATTTTCTGTTGCAGATAGGTGATAAAGCCGGTTTGCAAATTACGTGAATGCTGCAGCACATCGGCGTGGTCACGGCCACATGGCAGGGCCAACAATATGCAATGCTCCTTAACCACCTGCAAGAGGAATAAGAATAGGCTGTGAGCATAAATTGCAAAATAAGAGGAATACCTCAGGTCGTATATATACAATATACCTTCAGCTAAACAAATAAAAAATAGAGTAACTTCTACGCATTAGCTATATTACGCACCTGCATCTTTTTCGCCACACCTTCCAGCTGTGTCTGCTCGAGACGCATGCGCTGTGCAATGCGCAGAAGCGGCGGAGTTGTTTCCGTGAGACTGGGTAATGCGGTGCGTGCTACGTTCGGATTGCCGTAGACGAAGTGCATCTGCACAGCAGCCTGGTCGGTCTTTAAGGCCAACAGGCCCTGCCACATGACCGGATACCGTTGCAGCAGCGTTACTAGCGAGTCACCCGGAGGTGGCGCTATGGCCGGCGCCATTTCCATGCCATGCAATACACCGGGAATTCCAACCGGCGTCGTTGAGCGTAGCTGCTCCTGTTGCTTGACGGCTGTAATCAAAATCGGCAGAGGTTAGTAAGGATTGAGGAGCATTTATAATAGGTGGGTACATACCCATAGAAAGACGTTCGTTCTCGCGCTCACGTTCCCGCTCTAAGAGCTTAGCCAAGGGAGCTCCTGGAGGAGGCTGGACGGCTCCACCACCAATGTAGGGATTGCCACTGGTCACAGAAGGCGGTGGAACTACCACGCTTATAGATGTAGCCGATCGGTGTGCGGGCGGTGGCTCCAGTTGTATCGAACCACCATCGTAGTAGACTCCCGGACGTCCATCGTTGTAGTGCGGGTGCGAAATTCGGGGATTGTGCACATAGATCTGTGCTGTTTGAGGCGAGTCTACAGAAAGAAGATGCAGTCTTAAAATATCGGTTTCAGAAGAAGTTCAGCGTGAAACTTACCCGCAGCAGTGCGATCCTGTGGGCTTTGCAAGCTATGAGGAACGGATATGGTGCGTGGACCGCTACCCGGACGTCGTAGCTCCAACGGTGGACTGCTCGAGATCATTTTGTCATCGTAGTCGCCGCCGCGCATATGGATATGTTGATAAAGCATGTAATTCTCACGCGCAGCGTTCTGCAAGTGAAGAGGGAAACACAGAATATTCAATTTTATATTCAAAGAAACATTTAAAAATGGGGGTCGTTGAATCTAATGGAAGCTCGTATTGGGTTACGCTACTTCAAAGCTCCGCATGTAAGACTTCTGTATTACCGGTGTTATGGGCGACGCTTGCTGGTGAGCCGGTGGCGGACTCTGCGTGCGCCTTCCACTGACAATGCCCGAAGCATAGGCACTCATATCATGCTGCGTCCATATCGAAAGCAGGAATGTTAAGTTAAGTGGCATTATTAGTGGTGTGATGATTTAAGTTAGTCTCAAGTTTTCAATTACATTACAGAGTCTTCAATATTAGATTATGGATGAAGGAAATTCGTTTACTTACCATGCTGGCATCAAAAGGTGGTACTGGCATGCCTGGCGGCAGAACAAGCGGCGAGACACGTGGCTGACCCTGCGGACTGATGTTGGGTATGGCCGTGCGTAGTGCGCCAACTAAAAATTATTAATAGATATAACCAATATATCAATTAGATAAATAATACATATATGTAAGCACATAAAAGAAACAGCATTTTATGACAGGATATGAAGAACATAATACAATTCATCAAATAAAGCGAACTTACCGGCTGCTGCCGAAGCAACTTGTTGTTGTGCCGATTTCAGCACCCCAGCGGACACGGGCGGAGGACTGCCGGACAAGATCTGGGCTGCCTGTAGGCTGTGCAATGCGGGATTCGATTTGCCGGATTGCACCTGAAGTGGGGGCGATGGCGTTAGCTGATGTTGTTGAGCTTGCAGATGCGATGGCGGCTTTGGTTGCAGCAACAGCGGATGTGTTGGCATGATCATGCCATGTGGCAGCTGTAATGGTGGTGACGACTTCTGCTGGGCGGACTGTGTTAGCGTCGGCTGTTGAAGCTTGTAGAGCTGCTGCTGCTGCTGTTGCGCTGTCGATGTGGGTGGGGCATAGCTGAAGCCTTGCTGGGCAGGATGATTGATTGGTTTTCCTAATTGCTGCTGCTGCACTACAAGATGAGCGCCGGCCGAGGATGTTGGTGGTGGTTGTTGTGCACCTACTGAAGCCTTGGAGCTGACCACATGCAATATTTGCGGCTGATGATGTGCTGGCATAGTTCCCGATGCTCCTGACGATGTGGTCTGCTTGATTACCAGCGTCTGTTGTTGTTGTTGCTGATGCTGCTGAGCGGACTGGACAGGAATACGTGGCGAGTGTGGTGAATGCGCCGTCGGCGGCGGAATGTTGACCAGTAGATGCTGCTGTTGTGGTGTAAGCTGCTGCACCGGATGCTGTGGGTGTTGCGGCTGAAGCATGTGACGCGCTATGATGTTTGATTGGAGAAGCTGATTTCCAGACATATCGGTGACCAGCATGTGCTGAGGCGGCGTCTGCAAAGTGGGTTGCTTGGTGGGCGTCATCTGTTGCTGCTGCTGCTGCTGGAGATTCTTCTCGCGATTGAGTACATGCGCCTTGAGCGGTTGTGGGCGAACACTTGTGTGCTGAGCATGCTGCAACACCGTTTGCGGATTATGCTGCAACACAATAGGCTGTTTGCCAGTTGCTGCCTGCGGTGGAACAACCTGCTGCTGAATCACGACCGTGGGTTGTGGCTGGGTGGGTGAAGTTTTCGATGGTGTTGCCATTGAGGTCTTCACCAATACACTGACCGGCTTGTTAAGCAGAGAGGCTGTAGCTGGTGTGGATGAAAGAGCAGCGGCAGCAGCCTCTACTTGAACGGGTTTGCTTAGAGCCGTGATCGGTGTGGCCACAGGACCTACTGCCGGGGGCGGCGGGGTGTGCGCGGTGATAGTTGCAGGTATCGGTTTATTGATTACCGTAGCTTTGATCTGAAGCGATTGCTGCTGGTGTTGTTGCTGATTTTGCTGTTGCTGCTGTGTAGATCCGATGTCCAGCTTGTGTAAATTATTGCTACTGGCAGCCGCAGCCGCAGTGGCCGCAGGGAGATTACCCTCCTTGCCCTGGGGCATGCCAGCTGTGATTACGCCGGTAAGGGGATCGACGAGCGCTTTGCTGACAGCATCGGCGGCACCACCCGTGATCTTTTGTGTGGCCGGTGCTGCTGTCTGATGCATAGGCAGTCCACCACTTGGTATAGATGAGTTAATGGCTTGATATGACTCGATTTCAGCTGCGGCAATGGCCTTCTTCTTCGGATGCTGCGGAATAGTGCTGTGCGTTGGCTTTGGTGGCTGTGGGACAACCGCCGGAGTCACTGAAGCAGGTACCGGTTCAGGCGCAGGTGACGGAGCAGAAGCTGGTGGTTGAATTGGATGTTGAGGTTGTGTGTCCTCCTTACTGACCAACTCGGGCAAATGCAATTCCTCCCGCTGTCCGCTTTGTGATGGTTGTGGTGGTGGCGGCAACAGCGCGGGCTCCTCGTTGAGATTGGCGGGTAGTTCACAAATGGTTTTGCGCTCCTTTGAACGTCTGGGACGACCCACGGCATTGGGTGTAGGCGTTGCATCTGATTTCTTAGACTGAGCATTGCGTCCTGAACGACGTGGTGGCGTCTGTGCGCCCTTGGGCAGCTGCACTGCGTTTGCTCCCGCCAGTTGCGTATTGCGTACCACATCCTCAATAATGTCATCCACAGTGCTGCGATCTTCCTTTTCTTGCAGGCGACGCGATTTACGCGTGTTCGAACTCTCTGCGCTTTCTAAACTTGCAGGATTACTTTCGACCACACTTAACGGTTCCGGCGTAGATGCTGGCAGATTTCCATCCACCTCTGACTTTAAGGCAGGCGGAGCCGCTGCCTGCCCCATAGCTTTGTTGATAGTCAGTATGAGACGTGGACGGCTTTCATCGTTAACCTGTTTGACAGCAGCTGCTGCAGCTGCCTTGGCTTTGGACTCTTCGCCCGAATCGTCATGGAATTCGTACACATCCTGACTGGAAAGTGCTTGATTGCGAGCTTTCTTTTCTGCAGCCGTAGGAACGGGTGTAGGCGTGGGCGTTTCCAACGCTTGTTGTTGCTGCTGTTGCAACTGCTGTTGTTGCAGCTGTTGCTGCTGCAGCAAGAGATTGCGTGGCGGTCGTCCCTTACGACCGCGAGTTACCTGCGTTGTTGCCAGTTTACGCAATCGCGTATGCACGCCGGTTTCAGCCGGAGTTAAGCCGGTATCTTGCACTGGAGCGGGAGTCAAGGGCAGACCACCCTGTTTCTTAGCACCGCGGGGTTGTCGGCCACGTTTGGTGGCACCACCCCGTGAGCCAGGCGGTCTTCCAACCGATGGTGTGCTCTTCACAATCGGGGTTTGCCGTGTTTCAGTCTCATCTTCGGTGTCATGATCTGTATTGTTGGCAACTGCTGCTGGAGCTGCAATCGGTGCGTCGACGGGTTCGCTAGCACTCGCCACTGGCGTAGTTTGTTTTGTAGCTGGTGGCTCCGCGTGCGGCACATCGCTGACAAGTTGAGGCGGTTGCGTTGCTGGCTCTTTGGATTTTGCGAAAACAGTTCGCTTTCCTGCTTCATCCTTTGCATTTGTTATTGTGGCATTGGGATCCAACTTCTTGATTACACTATCAATATTTACCTCCTTCGCCGACCAATAGTCGCTGTCCACCTCTTTGGAGTCCTGTTCAATATCATCTTGCTTGGGCTGTGATATCTTAATGACATTCTCTTCAGTAAGCAGCGAGCTTGTTGCTGAGCGTGCTGCTCCTTCCTTGGGCGACGCTATGGCAGAATTTGTCAAGCTTGTTGTAGGTGTGGGCGTGCGTATGACCGACACACTCTCCGATGTCTTCATGAGTGGCGGTGGTTGTGGCACCTCAACAACTGACACTGGTACTGATGTTGTTATTGGAATATCCAAGCCAGTTGGTTTAAGTGGCGGGTCGCTTGTCATGGCTGGTGGGTGCGGTCGATTAGACTGATAATGTATCGCCGATGGTTGACTGGAAGGAGTCTGTCCCACAATGTGTTGCTGCACAATTATCTTCTGTGCTGACGGAGCACTTTGTATTACATTAAGCGGCGTAGGCGCCTGTCCTTGGTGGTGAGGACCACGCACCATAACGGACGTGGGCTGCGCTTGTTGTTGTGATGAGACAGAGGGTGCTAATTGGTTGTTCTTGTTCGGTGGACTGTGGCCCAGAGCTTGTTGCTGTTGTTGCACATTGCCACTGGGACGTGGCAGCGACTGCTGCTGCTGCTCTATCTGTTGTTGCTGCTGCTGTAGCTGTTGCTGCTGTAAATGTTGCTGTTGCTGCTGTTGTAAATGTTGCTGTTGCTGCTGATGCAACTGTTGCTGCTGGGAGACAAACATTGGGGGATGTGCCACCTGATGCTGTAACTGAGCCTGTTGTTGCTGCTGGTGCATTTGCGACTGTTGCTGCATCTGCGATTGCTGTTGTTGTTGCCGTAGTTGATGAATTTGCTGCGGTGGCTGCTGCTGATGATGTTGCATTTGCTGTCGTTGCATCATTTGCTGATGTTGTTGCATGTATTGCTGATGCTGTTGTTGCTGCTGCTGCTGCTGCTGTTGTTGTTGTTGTTGCTGCTGCTGTTGTTGTTGCTGCTGGTGCTGTTGTTGTTGATGTGCGCCCATTTTGGCCAACATCTGTGGCGAATGTTGCTGCTGTTGGTGCTGAGCCTGATGTTGCTGATTTTGCGCATTGACATACACATTTTTGTGAGGTGGCAAACTGCCCACTGGTGGCGATGTGGCTGCCGAAGATTGGGTTGCCTGCTGTGGCTGCACTGTGACGACCTTGCTTATTATTGTCGGATGATGCTGCACACTCACTGGCGGCATCTTCTGCAGAGGCAACGGCAACAGATGCGGCTGTGATTGTAGCTCTATTACCGCTTTGGGTATCTGCTGCTGTACCTGGCTCTGACCCCGAGCATTGCCCATTGAAGGCGAATAGCTATTAATTTTCATGACTGTCGGCAAAGATGTTGGAGAAGGATCGCTTGCAGATATATGTGTCTTGGGATTTCCTGCTATTGGCGGCGAATTGACAACATTTGTAGCCACCGCACGAGCCGTTGGGCTTGCCATAGGACTGCTCATATTGCTCATCAAAGATGTTGGGGATGCAAGTGCTGCGTTCGGAGCTGGTGACATAATCAGAGTATGTGGATGATGCTGAGTCGGTTGCGCTTGTGCTGGCGGGCGTCCAAGGTTGGGTTGTGCCGCGGGACTGTGTTGTCTCGTTGGCGTACCTGGTCCACGTCCTGGCGACAAGAGTGGACTATGCGGTGATGGAGCACGCATCGCTATAAAGCCACCAGGCTGCTGCTGCGGGGATTGCTGTTGTTGCTGTTGGTGGTGATGATGCGGAGACAAGACCATCTGAGGTACCACAAAATGTGGCATGGGCTCGGGTATAGAGATAGTTGGCGGTTGCATAATGAGACTCTGAGTGCGCTGTAGAGGCGGCGTCTGTTTCGGGGTCGATGCCTGTGGCATTTGTGGCTTTTGGGAAGCTTGTGGACTGCCAAAGGACATTGATTTCGTACTATTGTTAGTCACTATCGCCGAATTAGAATCGCCGCTAATGACGCTGGATAAGTCAAGATTAATGACGCTCTGCTGTTGCGATGTGGTTGGTGGCGGTGGCAGTACCGTGTGTACGGGTTGTACCAACGGTTGTTGCAGTTTGCTGATAGTAGGAGGTTCAATCTTTGCGGAGGATGTTGGGGTTGCCTGCTTGGGCGAAGAGGTTGCATTTGGAGGTGCAACCAATGTAAGGGGTGCTTTTTGATCCAAGCTAGTAGCAGGGATTTCTCGCGCAGGTAACTTTGTGATCACTGATGGTTGCAAGTCTACCACGTGTGACTTCTCCTCTGCTTCCACCTTTGGTGTCTTCGGCGATAGATCATTACTCGAATTTGTTGATTTCTCTGGAGAAGCGCTCTGCACAGTCTCGTCGATCTTAAGACTAGGGCCACTGCTGTCACCCTCGTCAGCATTTTCTTCGGTATCTGTGTCTATTTGCAGATCACGTTCAGATTGCGGAGTGTCGGCTTTAATGTCCATGTCTTCATTGCGTAGACTCTCAACAGCTTTATTGATTTCATCTGGATCAAGTGCAGCATCTTCTTCGACTGGCACGGGCTCCGGTTCAGCCTCTGCGAGAGGTTCGATCGCTTTAGCTGCCAGTGCAGCCTCCTCGTCCGGCTCGGAGACAGTCAAAGCTGGCTGCTCGACCTCGCTGACTGATGTCAGCTCATCTATACCATCAAGAGAATAGTCAGCGGTAGACGAAGTGCCAAAGCTTTCTCCTAGTAAAGCAGAAACTGCGCTTTCCGTTTCTTCCTGGGATATCGTTACTCGTGATTTGGTATCCTCCAGTTTATCCATGCTTTTTGAGGCATCTGGTGGTGACGCAACAGGTATTTTGGGCTCATCAGCAGTTGGGTCAAGTATTGATGTATTGAATTCGGCGGAGATGGACTGCACGGCAGACTCGCTGATCTTGTCATCAAAGCCATCGAAGCCGGGTATGAAGTTTTCTTTCTTCTTACCCAATGCTGCCGGACTGCTAAGACTAGAGGGCGATGTGCTATCGTTGGCCTTAGTACTTAGGGCCGACTCTGTAGCAGCGGCATTTGTCGAAGATGTTGGGGTAGTGACCAACGCTTTTCCTGTACCGGCCGAAGGGCAACTAGATGGAGACTCCGATTGAGCGGATAATATGGAACTGTTGGTAATGGTTGGCGTTTTTGGTATGGGACTAATAAGACGCGGTTTCTCTCGCGCTGGCGTCAGCGCTTCATTCGAATTGGTGGTTGTAACTGTATTCTTGGTGGGTGTATTCGGTTTGATGGGCACATCCTCATCATCGTCGCCGATGAGGCAGGGAAGGCTCGGTGATGGCTTGCAGATGGGTTGCTTAGATTCAATGGTCTCGTCATCATCTGTTTTGTTACTAGCTGTCTTTTGAGCATGTTTTGTCGCAGCTTGTACATTGATTGTCAACTTGCCCTGCGGAGGTGGCGGTGTCAGGACACTGGACGGCGTGAGCACCAAAGGATCGCGGCGCTGATGTGGCTGATGATGCTTCTCTTCTTTGGAACGCTTCTTTTTCTTCTTTTTATCTTTGCTCTTGTGCTGTGCATCTTTGCTCTCAAGTTTCTCGCCATGTACTGGTGTGGGTGTGGGTGGTGACTTCTTAGGCAGCAGCTCCACCGAGTTATCTTCATGGTCGGAGAAGCGGAACACATCGGTCATATCGCTACGATAGGTGGTGGCAGTTGAGGGCGTCGCATCCTCGGGCAGCTTGGTATCAAAGTCGTCCATTAGCTGCGCTTCAAGTGCCCGTCCCGCTGCATCCAAATCCACACTATTGTCATCGTCGAGCTGTTTGGACGACTGTTGTAGTTGTTGTTGTTGCTGAAGCGATGATAACGCATGTTGCTCTCGCGCGGATTTGTCGCGTCTCTTTTTCTCACGCTTCTCTTTACGATGACGCTCACGTTCAGTGTGCGAGGAATTATTACCACCAACACGACGATCCTCCTCATCACCAATTGTTGCGTGACTCTTCGGCGTATGCGGCTCCTGCTTGTAGGTGTGCAAAGCCGCAGAGACAATTGGCCCAGTGGTTGAAATGTTTGGTGTATAGGGCGGCATATCCTTGTTATCAGGTTCATCCGTGAATTGCGACTCTTCGTCGGAAATTACACCAAAAATGTACTCCATTTTGTCGTCGCTTCGTTTCTGCTGTTCTCTGGCGGCAGCGGCTGCTGCCACAGCGGATGCTGTACTTGCAGCTGTCGGAGATTGCGCCTTGGGCGTAGCCAACGATGTGGGTGTTGCTGTCGGAGTAGCATTTGATGCACTGAACATGCGGGATGAATCCAAGCTCTTTGACTTTTTAGATTTCTTCAAACGATGTCGCTCCTCCTTGGACAGACGCTCGGACGAAACCTCGACAGAGCCACCGCCTGTGGCTGTCTCGCTTAAGTTACGCAGCTTCTCTCGCTTCTTCTCCTTGCGCTCCTTATGCTTACGACGTTCACTGGCTTCAGGAACTACATCTGTTGGTAAATTGTTCAGTACGTCCGCCTTAAGTTCATCAAAGCTGGCGAACTTTGGCTTACACTCGACGATAGCCACATCGAACATGCTGCCTCCTGGAGGTCCAGGCATATGGCTGCTGGTAACCAATGCATCCGCCGATAAAGCCGTCTTAAGACGCTTTTTGCTTTTCTTGTGCTTTTTACGCGTCTCTGGCGAGTATTCTTTGACTTTGGCAGACTCATGGACAGCCCCACTAGAGTAGTCACAATAGTTTATTTCAGTTTGAGAACCCGCAGCATTGAAGTATTCATTATATTCTTTCTTTATATCAGACTCGCTTTTAATAATCTTACGGTCTTCGGCAGAAGAATTTGAATCGTGACGCGATTTAAACTTTTGCTGCTCTATATCAGACAAATTTTGCTCCTTTTTAATATCCGTTTCCTTAAATTCGGCAACAATAGGCTCCTCTTTGATATTGGCAGCGTCCAAATCTGGTGCTGGTTGTGATTGAGACTCTGAATCGGATGCTATACGCGTGGAATGACAGTTCCGTCTGCCGGCTTGATTATGCTTGTTCAATACATTGCGACGAATCTCATCTTCGGAACTGTCATCTCCATCGCATAGACGCAACAGTTTCTGCTGCATTTGATGGCGTATACGATTTTCGTCGGATTGCCGACCGGTGGAGTCCGAATCAGAGAACATACGACTCTGATTATGTAGTTTGCCCAATGTCTGACTGCTGCGAAAATCATCGTCCTCATCATCACTAGTAGACAGACCCATACCGTGATTATTGCGACCGTGGAATGAGCTGCTGCCGCTATTACGATGATGACGATCTTCGAACTCTGTGTCGCTGTCACCGTCGTAGCTGGTAGATCGTTTTTTCTTGGCACGTGATTGCTTCAGTTGCGAAAACTTGGCCTTAATCTTTTTCTCCTCGGCCTGCTTTTGCATGTTCTTGCAGGAACGGGCCTTGACTTTGTCGTACATAGATACATTGGGGCAATCATCTGGGATGTCGAAGATAGAGTGCTTCTTAGAAGCATCATCTGTGTCATCTGAGTCGGCCGAGCTGAGCATTACTTTGCGTGGATGGGAAGACGATTTAGATTGTTGTCGATATGTTGGCGTGCGCTGCTGATGTTGCTGATGCAAGCCTTCGTCTGAGCCTCGCGAGGATTTCCGTTCCACACTGTGACGATGGTGATGCTTGCTGCTAGCCTCACCGGCCGATGAGCCGGCTGCAGACGTGCGCCTGTGGGGATTATGCGTGGGTTCCTCATCTGTGTTGGTGGACTCGGCCACGGAATGACGTTTCTTCTCGCGATGATGATGGTCACGTTTACTCTTGTGACGCGACGATGAGGAGGAAGAGTGATGATGGCCACCATGCTCCCGTTGCTTGTGCTGTGTGTGTTGCGTGGGAGTCTTTGCGGTCAAATGCTCGGTCTCTTCCTCGCTGGTGTTTACTTGCAATTTGCACAGTGACGAATCCTGTGGGAAGTCACTGCCAGCTGCGTTGGGAGAACTGGCTGCTTCCTGCTTTACCTCGACTGAAGATTCATTTTTGAGCTGGCCAACTGAAGCCGCAGCTGCATCGGTGGATGATTGACTGGTGATGGTGGTTGTGCTGCTGCTGGTTTGATGCTTGCTATGATGCTTCTCCCGTCTATGATGTCGAGACGAGGTGTGACCTTGGGTGTGGGAGTCACGCGACTTGGTGATTTTCTCTTCTGCCTCGCCATGACGTTGTTTAATCTGGGGCTTGTGCTCCTTTGAGTCGCGACGATCATTTAGGCGCTGGTGTGGATTGCTGTTCTGGTTTTCAATACGCATACGCTTCACATAATCCTCGTGATTTTGTTGTGCTTGTCCTCCACCGGCAGCACCACTACTGTGATTACTGTCCTGCGAGCTGAGACGACGCTTATGTAAACGTACAGGCGAATTTCGCGAGGATTTGCGCGAGCGTTCTTTACTGCTATTATTCTCCGAGGTAGCAACACTAGCGGCGTTTCCAGTCACCTCTGCGGCATTCTCTTTGTTGCCTTGCTGTCGTTCAAATTCGGGCGTAGAGTTGTGGCCAAAAAAGTTGGCATCATTGGTATTCACATTTGGTGCATCAGCCTTCTTGGAATGGGAGGAGTACGACAATTCACGCATGCGTGCCATGCGTGCCTCGTGTTCGGCTTCATGTGTTCGACGTGCAGCGTCTCGTTGACCCTTATCACGTTGCTCCTTCTCTCGTTGCTCCCTTTCGCGGTCTTCCTTAGCTTTGCGTTGAGCTTCAACTTCACGCTCGTCACGTTCTCGCTGTTCACGCTCTTTTTGCTCGCGTTCTTTTTGTTCTCTTTGCTCGCGCTCCTTTTGCTCACGATCCCGCTGCTCTCGCTCTTTTTGCTCACGCTGTTCTTTTGCTATGTGCTCCTGGGCCTCACGCTCGCGCTCTTCCTGTGCTTTACGCTCCTTTTCTTCTTTGGCTTTGCGCTCCTCCAGCACTCTTTCCTCTTGTGCCTTGCGCTCTTTTTCCTCCTGCTCTTTGCGTTCCTTCTCCTCACGCTCTTGCTGTTTTCTCAGCTCTTTTTCACGCTTTTCGCGCTCTTGTCGCTCTTTCTGTTGCGCTTTATCGACCTTTTCTTTCTCGCGCTGCTGCTCCTTTTCCGCCTTTTCTTGTTCATCGCTATCACTTGACTCGTCATCCACTTTTGGCGTGGCTGAGGACTTCGAGGACTGCGACGCAGCAGAATTTTTCCGTCGTTCGGATGATTTCTTGGTTTTCTTTTCACCGTCTGAGCGATTATTGTGCTTGCCATGTGACTTGTCACTGCTGCTGCTTTTCTTTGCAGCGGCCAAGGGTTTTTTAGGACCCTCATCATCTTGCGCAGAGTTGTTTGCAGATGTTGTTGCTTTTTGTACGGGAGTGGCTGCTGTTGAGGAACTGTTACCATTGGATGACGATGTTGATAATGAGGAGGACGTTTGCTGTGTGGACTGTTGGCCGCCTAACTGATTGACGGTTGAGCCAACGTTTGTACTTCCAGGTACCGATGCTGACTTCTGCAGTACGGCACGCTCCTTAGTGCTATCACTAGGCAAAGGCACGCTCAGACTCTTCGTGAGACTGTTCGGTGTAGTTGCTGTTGTCTTGGACTTCACAGGCGGCCCTTCAGGTGGCGGAGGTGGAGGCACAACACTCGTTGTCGACGGCGTGAGCGGTGGTGGAGGCGCAGGTTGTACAGCTGGCAAGGGAGCCGCTGTATTTGGCAATGGCGGGTGACTGGGAAACGGATACTGCAATCCCTTACTGGTGGTGGTTGCTGCGGCGGTGGTGTTTGTGTTACTTCCAGCAGTGCCACTTGCTGGAGATGTGCTCGCTGCTGCTGCCCCAGTGCTTGCTGGCAGCTTGTTTAGCGTGGACATCAGACCAGCATTGGTGGCCGCACCGGCATTAACCGATGGCGATGGGGAAGGGCTGTTGTAGGGCGACATGGAGGGCTGCGGTGAGTTCATAGGAGACAGACTACTCAGACGCTGCAGTAGACCTCCTGTCTTGCTACAGTTACCAATCACAGCTGTGGTCTTGGCGGCCGCTAGATTGGGCAGAGCAGGCGATGTGTTGCCACTGGATGGTAGACCAATTCGACTGCTAGATAATTGGTCCGTTGATGCCGGCTCGAACAACTGATTCAGGCGTTGGAAGTCATCATCGAAAATGGACTTCTTCGCTAGCACCGACTTTACAATATCCGAAGGCTGCAGTTCATCTATATCAAGGAACTTATGCCGGGAATTACTCGTCGTGCTTGAGGAAGTGCCGCTTGAGCTGTTACTGTTCCCAGATGCCTGATGTGAACTAATACCGGCCAGACTGGAGTGCATAGAAAGCTGCCACGACGGTGTTTGGGAGTGTCCGTGCCCATGCCCATGGCTATGATCGTGCATGCGACCACTACCACCACCAGAGTTCGCGTTCGTATTGTTGCTACCGCCAGACCAGCGCTCGTAGTTCTCCTCAAAATTGCGCAGACGCTCGTCCAGCGTCGGACTGCCACCAGTCTGACCAGGTACATCTGAGTCACTGGAGTTGGAGCTGAGGGAGCGGGGACGCGCGGGACTGGCCATCAGGCCAGTGCTGCCGCCAGGGGTTGTAGAACCATGGTGCGCAGGCTGGTGGTGGTGCTGGTGGTGTTGTTGCTGCTGGTGATGATGATGATGTGAGCGCCAGTAGCGTGACGATGGACTGGGTAAAAGGTTGGACGCCGAAGAACAGGCTGTGACGGAGGTCATGCCTGAGGATGATGACGTCGTTGTCGTGGTGGAAGTGGCGCAAGCGCTTAGACTAGAGTTGATGCTGTTAGACAGCAATGACGAGCTGCCGGACAAACTGGCTGCTGTGCCCAAATGCTGTAAATAGCTAGAGACAGCAGCACCAGACGTGCCGACAAATGACGAAGCTCCGGCGGATCCACTGCGATGTTGTTGAAAAAATAGTATTCCAAACTTTGGCAGTGGTAGCCACATTACGTCTCGCATGCGCTCCCGCGCACGCTCACGCGGCATACGACGCGGTTCCGTTGGCAATACCTCTGGCCTTTCATCACAGAGCGGTGTACCCGGCCGTGAGCCATCGGCACTCTCCCCGCCACTGGCCTCGTGCGAATGATGGGAATGTAGCTGGTGACCACGTCCTCTCGACGCATGATGATGAAAGTCATCGTTAGGCATGGGCATGCTGCCAATGCCGCTCCCGCCTGCACCCCCCATGCTGCTGCTGTTACTGCTGCCCAATGGGCCAGGCGGCACGGGTGCAACACGTCGTCTTTTGGCCGCCAGTGAGGCATTAATCATATTCTGATCTATTGTACTGGCACCCACGAGCCCATGTCGAAAGGCAGAGGAGTTGGAAAGCGCCGACAAGGCGCCCACATCAATGGACGGTCGCCGTGCCGACAACATGTGCGGCTGCATTGAAGGCGGCTGCGGTAGTAGCTGCGGCAGATGATGCTGATGATGGTGGTGGGGTGGAAACTTAGTGGCCTCCGATACGCGGCGTATCTCGCTTTTCCGATTCAACGGATCGTGTATGACATCACAGTTGGACATTGGGGGGACGTTGGGTTTGCTGCCCAACTCGTTATTGGCATCCAGCATGTGCTGTGTCTGTAAAAAGGAACGAAACAAGTTAGTTAGATGGTATGTCCAGTTTTAAAATGAATCAAGATACTGACCATGCTGGCATTGGAATGCTGATGATGGTGGTAATCCATCTTGATGCGCTTTCGCGGACTAACGATGCTCTCATCACCACTGGACGGGCATTCCTCGAGTTGTTCTAGCAAAAGGGAACGTTGATTGTGCAAGTGACCAATGGCGGCGGGTGTTTTTTGCTTGCCTGGACTTTTCCCACAACGACGTCGACTGCTATTGCTCAACGTAACCTCGAGCGTTTCGCTGCCAGATGTCGCTGTGGCGGCGGCTCCCGAGTTTACAGCCGGCCCTAAACGGGAAATAACCGGCGAGTCTGAACGCAATCCGCTGCCATAGTTGCCAGCTCCTACCGCGTTAACGGTGCCAGTGCCACTAATCGCTTCATCATCAACCTGACTATGTTCCTCGTGGTTGCGAAATCTATTACGATTCCCGCCCAGATCATTAAAGTCGAAGTCAATGGTGTGTCTGGCATTTCGTGCCATGCGCATGCGTGCCTGTGCCAAAGCAGCCGGTGACATGGGTAAAGAGCTTTGACCCACCACCGAGGGCAGGGTGCCCGTTGCTGACGAGGACGAGGCCGACCCACCACCAGCCACAATAGCTGACGAGATACTGGGTGCAGGCATGATGTTGCTGGAGACGCTGCTACTGCTACTACTGCCTGGCGTGTTACTGGGGGAGCAGCCGTCATTGGAGTTCTGATGACGACTAAACGAAGAGGCACGCGAGCGGGACTGTGAAGATGATTCGTAGCGACTGAAGCGAGTGCCTGCAATGGAAAAATAGAATATTAATTTCGTACAAATTGATAGCACTTTGGTTTTGTTGATGGTTCTATAATTTTCGTTAAATCTCTTCTATAAATTTCTTTACAACCGGCTTCAATTTATCAATTCAATCAATTGATAATATTTGTGCCCAATAGATTTTCAGAAAAGTAACTTATTTAACTGGACTAATTACATATCTTTTGACATTTGACTCACAAGTCCCTTTCTACACCACTAATTTCTAAAATGAGCTCGTATCTAACGGAATTTTCTGGCCTTTAGATGATTTGATTCTTCCAAATTTTGAAGTCCCTGAATGAGAATTATGGAGTGATGCTAATAGGAAAATAATGAAAATACGGGGTTCATATATTTGACAGTAGACGGACAGTTCTTTATGAAAATCTTTATCACTCATTATTATTAAGGTCAATGTGTTTGTTTAGTGATTAATAAGTGTTTGCTTTTCAAAGTGACAACCGTGGGTTTTTGTGGTATCGATTCACTTGCACTTACATGCATTCTGCTTTTCCTGTTTGTCATAGAACGCATCCTGGCATTCACGCGATGCAAAGTCCACCTGCAGCTTTCGACCCCGCATGATTGTGCCGCGCATATCCTTGACGGCTGCCTGAGCATTTTGCACCTGATCGTACAGGACGAGGGCCAGCTGTCGCGTCCGATCAATTGTGACTTTTGTGACGGTACCGAAGCGAGTGAACTGCGATTGCAGATATTGTTCGGAGACCTTATCGCAGACACCATCGATCCAGACACAATTGGTGGGCATGGATTTGCCAAAACCTAGCTTGATTCGATTACTGCCCAGATGCTCGCCATCCATTTTTCTCATTGCCTTCACCACAGACACAATATCCGAATACTGACAGAACGCGTAGGCGTTGAGGCCTTGCTTTTTAATGTCAATCTCAATTATCTCGCCAAAGCTCTCGAAATGACCACGCAGCTCGCTGGCTGTGATATCCTTTTCCAGATTGCCTATGAAGAGGGTGCGCGTTGACTTTGGATTGTATTCGTCCAGTTCCGCTTCGTAGGGTCGAAATTCATTGTCCTCTACGTCGTAGCCCTGATAGGGTTCTACCTCGATTTTACAGCCGAAAAAATGTTTATCGTGCGAGACCTCGAGTGCCTTCTCCACATCGTCCGGTTTCTTAAAGCAGACGAGCGCGTATCGCTCCGAATTCTGGCCCACGACCTTCACCCACGTGACCTTGCCGTGCTTTTTGTACTCGTGAAAGAGACCATCCTTAAGGGATGTGTCTGAGGAACGTGCGGGTAAATTTCGTACGCGTATCGCTAGCGGCCGATTGTCTTCGGAATGAACCACAGGATTAGCCGCCAGGCAGGAGCTGCTGCTGCTACTACTGCTCGAGCTGCTGCTGCTACTGCTCGAGCCACCGCCGCCGCCACCGCAGACGTTCACAGCATTGCCACTGGGATTTGAAGGGTTGCCTGTAAATTAATAAGCAACAATACGGATTAGCAAAAGCTCTTTAGCAGGTTACATATATCACCACGGTTGCCACTATATTAACATGTGAGTTATTAGTTTAAAATATTAATGTTTCAAATTATTCAACAGTTTCCAATACTTAAATCTTATTATAAAATCCTACTGTACTTATGTAATAAATATTTAATTTCGAAACCCAGCATTATTTACAGAAGTTCCAGTTAATTCTCGACATAGGAAAATCAAAAACACACGCATTAAATAGAAATTTAAAAAAATAAAAGAAAACCCCATACCACTATACAAAACTATGATTTAATCTAACACATTTTCATGGACATCAATGTATATTAACATTTTTGTATTCTGGAATCTAGCCAATTTTAATTTGCAGTAAAATATTTTTACTAAATGAGGAAAACAATAAGTGGAAAATACAATATAAGTTTTAAATTATGAGCAAGAAAGTTTTTCTCATTCATATTCATTTCTGGGACAAACAAATTTGTTTTGTGAATTTACTAAGTTCAACCAGTGACAACCGTTTGTGGTACTTACATTGCAAGGGATTGGTGACTGCCACGGACTGCAAACTCCTGGAGCTTCGTGAGGAGGCACCTCCGCTGCCACCGCCACCGACATCAGCACAATTGCCCGATATCGGACTGGACGCGTGCGAATGGGAGGATGAGTGCGATGACGATGACGAGGAGCTATGAGACGAGCTGTAACTACTCGGCGATCGGGAGTGAGAGCGACTGGACGATGTTGTGCTCCGTCCATGTAAATGATGACGCGGTCCACGCAGCGAATTGTTATTGTTACTGCTACTGTTGCTATTAATGGCAGCTGAGGGTGTGCCATTGTCGACGCCACTACCACCACCGCCACCGCTGGCTGCAATCACAGCGGCCACATTTAGAATGTCACCGCTGTTGGATCCGCTCGTAGCCACCGCTGCAATTGGCATCGTTGGAGTGGCCGTGCTTATTGTATTATTTAAACTATTACTACTAAAACTATTGTTTGTGATTGTACTTGTCGTCGTCGTCGCTGCTGCAGTCGGCGTTGTCGCTCCACTTGCAACTGAATTAGGCGACTCGGAGCCGCAACGTGCCGCTGACTTAAGCAGCTTGGCGGCAGCGTTGGGCCGATTGTGTAGCAGGATCTTGCGCGATATTGCCGACGTGGGCGCCGCCACTTCATCCGCACTGCCGGCATAAGCAACGCTGCGGTGAACTGCGGCTGTGGCCGCCGTTGCTGCCGCTAACGAGGCAGGTGAATACGAGGCGGATATAGTGGAGGTGTTGCTGCTGTTGCTGGAGGCGGCGGAGGAGTAGTGATGATGATGATGTTGCTGCTGCTGATGATGATGATTGATCGGTGAGCTCATTATGCCGCCTGCTGCTGAGACGCCGGCATTGCCACTGCCACCAGGACTTTTTATATGAGCTGTCGCAGCAGCTTCGTACCATGACTGCGGTACGCGTGTGTTTTGGTGAATGTTGTTGTTGTTGCTGCGATCGCCTAGCGCTGTCGGCGTTCCTGCTGCTGCTGTTGCTGCCGTCGTCGTTGTTGTTTGTATTGTTCCTGCTGCTGCTGACGGCGTGTATGAACCATTCCTGTATAGGCGATCCCGAGCTCGCGATCTATCGCTGTTACTGCTGCTGATGTTTGTTGATACGGCGGCGGCTGAGGCGGCGGAGGAGACGCTGCTTGCAGTGGCGGCTGTATTAGATTGGTAACTGACTATGCGGCTGCGATCGTAGTAGTTCCTTTCGAAGTTGTTTGTCGGTGGTTCTTCTGTAGACCTACAAAATCAGACAAGAGATGTTTTTGTTAGAACATATGCACATTCTTTATTTTCTATGTATGCAGGTATGTATGTATGTAAATAGTACGGACCTCCGCATAATACTCGCGGTCGGCTATTTTTTACAGTCGGCGCCTTCCACACAAAAGCTAATTTTTCTCATGGACACACACAAACACAATATATAACAATTTTTGTAAATGAAAATAGCAGACCCCATGGAATTAATTAAAAAGTTTGCATCAAAATAATATGTACAGATCCGAAAAATTTCACCGGCCACTAAATAAACGGCGCCAAATTTAACATTGGCCGGTCTTGTCTTCTTCTGTTTACGTGATGTGGCGAATGAGTGTGTGTGTGTGAGTTACTTTTGCACATTCAGCGTTGAGAGACGACGCGTTCTCGCTAGGGCTCTTTATGATAACCGGTTTCTTAATATTTACACTCCTGTTTGCATTAAATTTGAGGCACTAAATATTTCTGCTTTCTTTGTTGGTGGTTTTTTTTGTACGCTTTTTTGGATTTTGCCGTCTTTGCTTTTGGATCGAGGTTCGCGTAAGTCGTCAAGCGCTGCCAGATCGAGCGTTTGTAAAAGTGCTACCAATCGATTGCCTAACAGTGCGCTGTTACATGTAACAGTTGCAGAGCTGTTTGTTATTTAACAGCGATTTTAATTATTTTACCAATAGCTGTCACGTCTCCGTAATTAGCAAATTTATTTACATACAACACATCCCCGTAAAAATAATTATTTTATTGGTAACGTCGCGATTATAATTACTTTCATTAATATATAGTATGTATGTACATATGTTTGAATTATGGAACAGCTGCAGAATGGTTTCAAAAACATCTTCAGCCGGCCGATTCTTTGCTCTAGAAATGTTCGTCAATCTAACCGAATTTCGATCAGTTTTGACTGTTTGAAATACTTTTATAATTTTTAAGTTTTAATCTTAGATATTTTTCCCATTTCCTGCTGTACCATCTAATTAATTTTTGTTAGTTGAGATCTAACAAGTATAGATTGAATTCTCGATAGCTTGAGTCTTTACTCAATGCTAGTTTAGTACTTATTATCGTATATTGCATGCTTATTACTTGCTTTTGTAAATATTAGAATAATTAAGTTACGTTTGATTGAATTTGCTTTATCAGCACGTATTGTAATTACATAAATAAACCATTCAATAAATAACGATCTTATAAATGCAATAGCATGGGATTCACTGCAGCTAAGGCGTCAATTTGTCTTTGCCTCTACAAAAATACATACATACATACATACTTAAATATGTACATATTCGTATGTATGTAGTTACTTCTGCTGCCATGTAACCGTGATCGCCGGTCAAAGTACAATTCAGGTAAAATACATTCAATTGCTGTCTACCTAGCACGTTAAAACAAACACATTAGTGCTGCAGATGGCAGGCAGGGAAACATCGCGAGAATTCAACCCCAATAAATTAGCGAGATCAGTCGAAAAATACAACAATAACAAGAACAGCCGGCTGTCGGGATACAAAGCGCGACCTTTACTTAAAATGCATTTGTTTCCATGAAATCAGTTGAGTTCCTTAAATGTCACACTTATGCACATATACATACATACATACATATGCTCATTATTATGTTAAAACGGTAATGCTAGACAGACAACATGGCCGCCCATCGACGACATTGTCTGGTGTGTGACGTTCAACGATCGATTTGTAATTGTATTTTAAAGAAAGGTGATTGAACGCCCTCAATGCTCGTCAATGGTGTTGTGTGGCACTGTTTTTGGGACTGTTGTTGTTTTTTCGTCTTAATCAGAGAGCGCCAAAACGGAGATAAGCTTCAGCAAGAATTAATGCCGCTGTACGCCACAAATATTCATCAGTGTTTCATGCCTCATATACAGATTTGAAGAATTGCAACAGTGCCAGCAAAAGAGAAGAGTTTTTAAAGCCACATTAAGCGCTTTAAGCGCCTGACAACATTAATGCATACATAACTATGCATTTACAAAATATACGAGTACATACATGCATACATATTTATGTATATATGCACATATACATAATGTGCATTGCAGCAGTTTCCAGCAGGCGCTGGAAAAGCAAACGACGACGACTACAACTATGGCGTCGACGTTAACGTCAACGTTGGCAGCAGCTCAGGTCACATTCGCACACACACACACACACACACACACACACACACACACACACACACACACACACATACGACTGTACACACGTACTGAGCCGTTGCAGATGGCTGACGTTGATGACTCAGGCCAAAAACAAAGCACAAATTGCCGACTGCCTCCCCACCCAATCTCTCTCCAGAGCTCTCTCTCTCTCTCTCTGTTTCGCTCAACGGTGTGGGTGACTGCTTTGCTTTGCTCTGCTTCGTGTGCACATAGCATAAATATCTATGCGCGACTTCATTCGAGCTGCTGCATTTACAGAGAGACGTTACCCGAGGTAGATGAAGATGTTGAAGTGGTGGCAAAGGCAGCTGGCTCTGGCTCAGGCTCAGGCCGCTTTTCCCGGCATGCGCAGTGAGGCGAGCGGTGGCTGAGTGAAAAATCAATTCAGCTAAAAGTGCGCCCGGTTTGTGTGGGGGGCTTGGCAGGGGCACCAGCAGCAGCAACAGCAACAACAACAAAACAACAATGGCAACATTTGTTGCGCCAGCAAAAGAAACCAGGATGATGATGATGATGGTTGTCAGGTGTCGCTTTGTGTGTGTATGAGCGTGCGCGGGAGTGTGTGTATGTGTAGGTCTGGCTGGTGGTGTGACTGCTGTAAATTGCATTACTGTGAGTAATGGCTATGTACATGTTTATGTATGTATGTACGTGTATGTATAGTATGTGCGCGAATATGTATTTATGTATGTTCGTTTTCGCGTGGGTTTATGTATTACATAAAGGCCAGCTCTGCCGCCCAACAATGCTTGGCAAAAGTTTCGTCGTCACAAGCCCAACTCAGCAAACGTCCTTGTTTGAGGTTATTCGTATGCTAAAAGTTCTACGCTTGCCTCATGCAGGATACCGTTTAATTCTGGTTCATGCTGCATACCTATATATAATATGTATATATAAGTACATATGTGTATACGAAGTAAAATACAGTTATAAGCGCTTTGCACTCTAAAGCTTAGAGCAACTAAGCTCAGTAGCAAATTTCAGCTTCAAACCTAGAAGCCAGAATTGCAAGAAAACATATATAAATGGATAACAATAAGAAACTTTAATTTACATTTATTTTATTTTGAAAGCCCTGTAAAAAATCAAATTTTTCATCATGAAAGAAGCGGTTTTTCTGACAACAGATATCTTCTGGGTCCCAGTGGCAAATACTATTTGTACGAAGTGTTTTTACCAATTACAACTAGTAATCCAAGAAATCTTTGCTTTTAAGATATATAAAATATTAAGCAACTTCTACTGTATAAGTATGTGTCTATAGAAGCCTGGCACCCTCGCAACATTTTTGCAATTCAGCATTCCTGAAATCCCTTCTTGCTGTTCAGTCAATCATTGCCTCCTGGCTGGCGGCCATTGGCATCTTGCGCTTGCTTGGTGTTTCTGTGCATTCAACTGCAGCCAAAAGTAATTTCAAATCGCATTCAGAGTTCGGAAAGCAGGGGCGTTAAATTTGTGAAGGTTTCGTAGCTTTATATCCTGGCCATAAAATGTTTCTTTTTCCTTTCCTTCAATTTCTTGCTACGTGCCACACGCACGCTGAGTTGAAGGACATGGGAATGACAGGCAGTCAGCTGCAAAAGTAAACAGAAAACTCTCTGCTGCTACTGATAAAGTTTATCACAAATGCACGCCCTTCAGGGATTGTCAGGACCGACCAGCAGGGTGCGGCGTCGTCGGCGGTGACGGCGGCGTCGGTGGGCGCTCCCAGGCGGCATCATTAAGTTGATGCTATGAGCCGAGAGGCAGCTCCGAGCTCCAAAGCTGGGCTGCACAAAGTGCGCATTAAGTTAATTTATTTATGTAATAATAGGATTTTTATTTAAAACACCAACAATGTGAGCAGAACAGCAGGCTGGCGCAGTTCACATGAGCACATTGGAACGAAATGTAATGAAAGCGCCAATTGTAAGCATTTTGAGAAAATTCCATGGCTCCATGCAAACAAGTTATATGCAAGGATACAAAAGTGCTTCAATTCTACAGTAAAGCTTTTGAATGTTTTTTCCCATAATCCACAAAAAATGACGTCGCGTAACGATTAAAATGTATAAATTCGATTTGTTTTTAAGGCTCTTCAAATAGGACTCCAAATACGTGTAGAAACCGCAACTAATGAAGTTTAGCGGATTTAGCATAAGTTCTTTGTTTTACTTGTATTTTTAAAATTACCAATATACTTCACATACTCTCGAAATGTCCTACAGCCTGGGGCAATAAGTTCAAATAATTAAAAAAAATAAACTCTTCACTATTCCATTTAAATTTCAATCCAATTCAAGACCAATAAAACAAATTCTTTTGTAATATAATTCGGACATAATTCATATTTTCTATAAGCCCTAGACACTCTTCATATTCGTCATAACATCGTTAAAATTATCTGGATATAGGATAAATATTATCTGTGGCTTAATCCGCCATCCTTTCGCGATTAGCAAGGTGATCTTCGGATCATAAAAAGAAATAGTTTCATTTTATTGATTAGAAGCTGCAAATATTAAATTAATTAAAATATTGTGTAGAGCAAGTAATGGACATTAATGGTATGCAAAAAAGGTGAGTTAAATTCTAGATTCCATCTTGGCCATATGCTGTAGCCATTGGAAGCTTTCAACTGATCCAAAGAATTAACAGGTCTGCGTCCAATTTATGATGTTTTATCGAATGTGTTAATGAAAATCGGAAAAAGCAGCTTTGAATTAGTATTTTTTTAAAATTTGCTAAATTTGTAATGCCAGACCAATGTGCACGGCTGGTGGAGAACGGGAAGGAGAGGATTGATGGCACGTACG